TAAGAAAGTAGATTCCAGAACATTACATTCTAATGAGATCTAATGAGGTTAATAATGGTTAATACGTACGTCATGATCCTATCCTTTCCTATCCTTATGCAGTACTGAAAGTTTAGGATTGAAACGGCGCCAAGACCACGGCCTGCAAGGCTCTCGCACAGCGCGTCACCTGCGGCTGTGCTGTAGAAACATGACAACTTGCACAAGCTGCATGAATCTCATCACACTGGGAACACACAGACATGCCATGAAGATCTTTGAGGCATCTGAGCGTTTATAATATTTATAAACCATGCGTGTTCTCAAATGACTTCAAATTCCCTGTCCGGAAGCTCATTACCCCAAATAAAAAGCTTGGATTGTCGATCGGGACTTCAATCAGTCCATCAGTTTCATTGTCTTTTAAGCGATCCAAGCTAAACTGCAGTCAATTCGATGTGTTGATTACAAACTCCAAGTTGTTCAGAGTTTTTCAATGTTTTTCAACAAGTTTTTTCCGCAGTTGTTCAATACAACAGCTATGGCAATGATCTGGCCATCGCCTTGGTTTTGCATTCATCTACCAGTACCAAGTCTACCAATCGATGCTGAACACATGCCTCTTGTCTGATCTCTTGCAGCTGCTGCTGTAAATCTTCACCTGCCCAGTCGCCAAAATTTTTCCCCAAAAAATATTGAGCCACCCGTGGCCCATCAGGTGGCAGGTACGTACATCAGTGGCTGTATCATGGTGAGGTCACTCACAATCTAGAATTGAAACTGAGATCTAGTGTCAAAGCCAACTCACTCACTTTGGGAGTCCAATATGATATATATAATTGAGAAACATTATATTGAAATATCATTGACACATCCCTTCAAAAAGTATCACAATGTATCACTTGTATAACTTATGTATACTTATATGATACTTATATTCACTTATCACATCAAAGTGTTTGGATGTGTTTGGCTCTCACACAGCACCAAGCAGATCAGCCGAGTGAACCCACGGAGCTCCGTTGCATCTCGCCAGGATGGTGCACCAGCTGTGCGGCTCACCGGCTCTGCCTTCCCACATCTCCCACATCTTCCCAGCCCACTGCAAAGTTGAATGGAAGAGATGAGAAGAAAAGTCTACCAGACTTATACAAGACATAAGAAATGACGCAAAGTGACCATGATCATCTTGAGTTTTGAAAAACAGCGCTCAGTAAACATGTGTATGGTCATTTCTTGCTTGAATGGTGTGTCTTTGAAAAAGAATGAAAAAGATCTATGCAATTTGAAGAACCAGCTCAACGACTGCTCCGGGGCAAATCAAACATCCAGTGTAACAAGTGAGATCAAGTGAGATCAAGTGAGATCATGTGAGATCAAGTGAGATCAAGTGAGCATGACCTTGTTGTATATTTCTTGACATACCTGGATGATCTGGACCTAGATTCCAAGCCCTTCGTCCATGGCGCACAGAGAGACTGCTTTTTGACAATTCCCAGAAAGTGTGCTGCCTGGGCAATGTTGATTCGCCTTGGGTAACAGTTGTCATCTCCACCCAAGTGGTTCTACCAAGATGTATGGAATCTTCGTAACAATACCCCAAATCCTGCATGTCTCTTCGATTGGCCAATAATGCCAGTCCTTGGGCATTCAATATGCTAGAGCTGCTTTGGTTTTTGACTGGCTCTCTGGCTGCATTGCATCATTTGGTGCACACGAAATTCAACGTTACACTCAGCATGCCCAGTGAAATCCAGACCAAGCTCCTGGCTCGAAGGCCTGACGTGTGAAATGAAAGGGCAATGATGCAATGACGTGCAAAATCATGTGCAGAATATTCAACACAATATCAATAATATATATACTGTATATATATATATGTCGTAGTACATACAAATATGTATATATATATATATACGTGTACATGAATGTGTGTATACATATATATATATATGTAACATGATATATGATATATATACAATACGATATTATATATTCCATAATATAATATATGAGATATATTAACACCATATATATATAAATATAAATATAAATATAAATATATATATATATGTATACATTATATATATGATGCAATAGCTGGAGCCAAGTTCTACTTGATCGCACCTCCCGCCCCTGTTCCGCGAGAAATCCTTCCTGGACAGGGCGAAATGGGGTCCGAAATGGGGTTCTCTGAAAGTGAGGGGCTGCAGAATCTCACGGTTGATCATAATTTTGCCCGCTTGCATTGCCGTTTTGGGATATCCAATATTTTTTGACAAAACCACCAAAAAAAGTTCCTGGAAATGATTAATGTCACATGCGTTGACCAAGGATATCCCTGAACTGGGCCATGAAGGACAGAAATAGGCAAGACAATAACAAAAAACCAAACGTTCAAAGCAGGTGCAACAAGTGTGTGCTTCAATGAAGTACCAAAGTACCTTAACTGGCCAATCAGCTCCTCACAAAAGTCATTAGATTTGTGAGCACCCAAACGGATCAGTGCCTTGTGTCTTCGGGTGTTAAAATATAATGTACGTATCTTCTCCGAAAGTATTTGACTACTTGCCATAGCTGGATCCCACAATCCTGACCAACCCAACTATGCCTAATCTGCCACTAAACGTAACCCGCGCAAATAATGCTGAGCACGACACAAATTCTACTGTGTATGCCTTTTATTGCCTTTTCTTAAAACTATATATGACCATGAAATTCTCAGCAATTTGGAAGGCCCCCCATTTCATATGACGCAGCACCAAGAATCAAGTCCTGCAATGTCAATAATCCCAATGTTCCAATGTGTCTCCATATAATACAATCTAAAACAGCATAATATACTATAATATAATACGAAGTATACAGTAATACGAAATAAAATGCAATACAATATAATTTGATATAATATAATATAATGTAATAATATATGATAATAATTAATAATAAATAATAATATATAATAATAAAAAACAAAAATTAAAATATACAATAATATATAATAATATAATATAATGTAATATAATATACTATAATATGTGTAATATCAAACCAAATAATATACTATAATATCATACAACATGATATATAACAAAAAAAGATAAACCATATAAAAACATAAAATAACGAAACATAATATAGCATACCATAACATAACAAGTATAAAAATATAATGAAATATAACGCAATATAGTTGAATACAATACAATATAATATACTATAAAAAATAAGAAATAATACAAAATAAATTATATCATATAGCTGATACAATATAACAACATATATCATGGAACAATAGAACAACTATATAGGATAACATAACACAACATAGCATACCATAACAAAACGTATCTTACAATATAACTTAATATTAGTTAATGCAAACATACAATAAAAGAGAAACATATAGTAGAGTTCAGTAACACAAAACATAACATAACATGACATGACATAACATGACATGACATAACATGACATAACAAAAAACATACAACAAGAAAACAAATATAATATAACAGAAAATACAATAAAACATAATTTTAAATAAAATGATATATTAAAAAATATAATATATTAAATAGATATACTACAATATAATTTAAAGTAAACACATAATATAGTATAAAACATATAATATAATGTAAACATATATAATATAATGTAAAATCTTACAACATGATATGATATGATGTGATGTGATGTGACATCAATGTAAACACAATATAAATATATATATATATAATATGTATACATGATACATGTATATGTATATGTATATGAACCATGTATGTCATGTATGGGGAGCTACAAGTCCCAACCACGTCCCAGTCTCACCACTCTGCGCCTTCCGGCTGGGTGGCACCTTGCAAGCACTTTCAACTCAAGCGCTTGTGGCGCCACAAAAAGATATACAAAGATTATGAACATTTGTGAAGTATGGAGAAGATCTCTCCCAGAGCAACTTCGTCTCTACTTCCGGCATGCACTTGTCCAAGTCTACCAATACAACCACCACTGCCGCTTGCAATATTTTTTGCAAATTGCGCAGGACATTTGGACTTGTCCCTTGACACAAACTGACACAACCCATCACACGCCTGCAGCTTTCGCAGCTCCTCTTCCAGTGCATGATTCGCCCTCCGCATGTGTGCATGTCACTGCATATCAGCGTATACATTTGTGGCACAGGGCAGGGTCTATGAAAACGCCGCAAAATATGCAACATGTTCAAATCAAAAACATCGGCAAAAAATGTCAAAAACACCAATACTCAATGCAGTGAAATGCAGTGCCCACAGCAGCTTCCAATCTGCAGCATGAAAGGACAAATAGAGATGATTGAGATACGAAAGCTTTGATGAAACAGCAAAGATGCGAAAGATGATAGGCTTCAAGGCTTCAAGGCGGCAAATCCAGCCGCACGTTGAATTGAGCGTCTTGTCAAACCTGACGCTTGGATATGATTGGTGAATCTGGGATCACTAGGCTTGCTACCTGCGGAGGCTTTGGACTTCCTCCTGCGGCACGGCAAGACCAGCTCAAAGCATGGATTTCATGAAACGTGAACATGATTGAACACGAGCGAAGACAACTGAACGTAGTCAAACAATTCAAAACAAAACACAAAACCCATGTGCTCCAACACCCTGAAACATATAAAAGCATGGCTTAAGGCATAAGGCGGGGTTGCCCTTAAGTAGCAATAAATTGGCAACTGTTGCTCTAGAGTAATGGAATGCTGGGAGGAACCCGGAACATCCCGGAACGCCAGTCAAACAAGCGCAGAGTCGGCAGCTGAATTCGCAGTGCTTTGTCTCACGGATTCCGGCTCTCTTGAACAGTGTCGTGGCCATGGCTATGTCTGGATGGGATAGCAGGCAAACACCTCAAAAGGTCCAGAAATTCAGAAACCAAGAAATTGCAACTCCAAATCAGTTGCTTGGACTCTCAATGACTCTCCGCTGAGCAGCACCATGCAGCACCCAAAAAACAAAACGCTGAAACTTGGAATGCCAAGGGGCTCAGCTTGTCCAGCTTCGGGATCTTCTGGTGAATCTACCTTCGGAGCCAGAAGGCAAAACCACGTTGAAAACAAAACGTTGTGCAATTCCCTATATTCCTTGTGCAACACGGTGTGCAACACGTTGCCAACATATTACGAAGCACAGGTAGGAAACAAGGATACAGGAAAATATCATTAAGAACGTTTATGAACTACAAATTGTCGGCTTAACTCACATCACGCCGCTAAGGGCACATCTTGTGTGACAGGCGCTGTGAAAAGCCACTAGGCGCATCACGCCGCTGAAGTCGCATCACGAGCATTGTTTTTTGCAATGATTCATTGCGGGCGCCATTGAATTCCGCAAACCAAAGAAAATGGGCACGCAGTCAACATGCACTTTTTCTATCTTTTTCTTGCGCGCGTGCAGTCATAATACACTTTTGCCTTCGCGTCGCGACGCGGCGCCGGTCAGAGCCAGCAGCAGCACCAGCAGCAGCACCACCGCAACCGTAGCATAGGCCAAAAAAAACGAAACCAAAACGAGGCCAAAATGTGGCCTAAACGAGGCTTAAAGGATCCCCATGGCCATTTGGGGTGGTAACCCAAGTGACCCCCATTTTCTAGATAGGAAAATTCTGACCAAATTAAAAGCCTAGAAAATGAAAAAACCAGGTAAAATTGGATGTTTTATTAGTTTTATTTGATTGGGTTATTAATTTTCTAGAGGGATGCATGGATGTTTTGGACATGCATTTTTTTAAACAAACAGGCTCATGAGAGTGCAACTCACCACTTTGGGTCTAGAAAATGACCTGTAATGCCATCATACAAACAGTTAAAGATGTTCCCTACAACTTTTGTGGAAAAATGGAGGACCAAAAATGACCAATGTTTTCTTTAGAAAATCAATTGTGTAACCCTTGCTAAGGGCTCGTGCCGAGCCATGGCGCGCCAACAGCACTTGCTGCTGCACGTGGGCCAACCATTGTAGCACCTGCTTGTGCCGGGAAATGCTGGTGTTCTGCTGAGGCCAGTCTTTTCTCCAACCAAGAGGTAGATATACTGGGTCTTTGGCTCGCATCTGGGAAAGCTTTGCAATGCCATGCTAAGCGCATGAAAGTTCCCTGGCTTCCGCACCAGGGGCAGCTGGTATCAGTGCCTTTGGCTTTTCCAAGATATGCTGGAGAAACTATGGATCCCAGGAGTATTGCGCGACCGTTGGCATCGGCCGCATGAAAGCTCTTTCGAGCAGCTTCCAAATTGACTTGGTTGATCTCTTCACGCATCTGAATAGGTGTGGTGGAGCGTCTCCACTCTGCAGCTTCGTGCTCGGAGTGTCCAGCATGTTTGCGCAACAATTGCAAGCGCCAAGACATGCGCATTTGATGCATTTGTCTGTCCACTTCTGTGTGAGATGGAGCTTGAAGGCTTTCACCTTCTTTAGTCCATTTCCACTGCCCCGCTTTGGTCCAGCCAAAATCTCTGCGCCAGTGTCTGAGAGCGCAAGCTGGACCGCCAAAAGCATTCGACCAGAAGGCAGTGTGTCTCTGTTTCATTCGGTATAAACGTTTAAACAACCTGGTGGCGACAAGCGCTTGCAAGTGTGAGGATCCGCCGCACAGCACAGATCTGAGGATTTGGCTTGCCACGCGGTTGGAGCTTGTCATTGTGGACAAACTGTTGAAAAGCAAATTGGAATCCCAGCGAGGAGGGAATTTAGAGACCCACCCATACAGCGCTTTAGGAAGGTAGAAAATGCGGTAGATCTCCATCTTTTTTTGTAGGCTACTGGCAGGCAACTCAAAAGTTTGGCACGTTGAGTGGCGGCTCTGTTCAAGCTCTGTGTTGGCCATTGGACGGGGCCGGATACTGACCCCTAGTACTGTCACCGCATCTTCACGGCACCAGTCAGGTCGGTCAATGCGCAACTGGGCATGCTGTCGTTTCAGCTTGGAGCTGTGTACTTGACGCGAGATGACTGGACACAGGCGTCAACCACAGAAAAGGGAGAATGACAAGAACCTGCATAGTGGTTGAGGCAAACGAAACATAGCAAAACCATTATTTTCATTAATTTTCTCTTGAAGAGTACAGTGTAGATCTCGGGTTTCGGAGCTCACCACCCCGGCCTTTCTGAGCTCCTTTCGGCAAACAGGACAGGAATCTGTGACCTCAGAATGAAATCACGGTGTGCTCGGCTGATGTCGGCTGATGAAAGCCACAGCAAGACGATGTAAGAAGCTCTGGAGGCTCCAGAAATGGGACCAAGAATTTAAGGTATGTAAAGGATACTCAAACAATCTCAAGAACAATATGACCAAAACTATTGTTGCAACAAAGATTTGGTGAAAAGCAGCTTTGTACCCAGTGGCACTTTATCAAGGATGCATACATTCCCCAGTCATGCTCTTGAGGCTATGTTGCACACCTGTGCAAAACAACGCTGAGAAGCAAAGTCTCACCCCAGACAACCACTAAGAACCCAATTGAAACTGCCCATACCCGTGTAGCAAAGGCAAAGTTATTGCTGGCCCATCAAAGGGTTGTAGTATCCTATCATTCAAAAACTATTTCCCTGTGGTTGGCTTCCGTTTGTCAAGCATCGCACTGACAGCCACCTTGACAAACAGTCCTGCTCTCAGTTTTGTCAAGAATGTACAGAACGAGTCTCACAAACACAACTGCTAAGCATCGCTTGGCTACGTGTTCATGTGCTGTCTGCGCTCTCTTGAAAACTACTTCGGTCCCCCATCTCTGCATGCCTTTAGAGAACTAAATGGATTCTTTAGAATCAGGCATCCAAACAGCACCTTGAACTACAGCTACTTGATGTGCCATACATCATGCATCATGTCATCGAGAAAATATTGGAGAACGTCCAAGTAATGAAGCCTCTTCTTTTGCTGTATGTATATATTAGACATACTCCGCAACGTCACATTTGCATACATTTGCTGTATTGCGAGTGAAATTACTTGCCATGACCGCAGCAACTCCGAACTCAAGAAAGCTGTATCGCATGACATTACCTGACTCTCAAATACATCTGGATTTCCCATCCATACCGGACACTCGGTATCAGTCCTGGTGAAAAACATGTTTGCATGGCGTCCTTTTGATGGTCTTCTCATGCCCAAAACGTTCGCAGCACACACAGCACTCGATAGGCAGAACCCCTGCCAGAGCGACGTCAAACTCAATTTAACGCTTTGTTCAGATTTCTTGATACACTACACACTTTTATGTGTGGCCGTTATAGTACTCAGCGCCTGCGGTCCCTCAAAACACATCGGCCTATTCATAGATAAAGGCCCAAGGTGATAAAGGGACATTTTGAAATCAAACATGCAGGGTAGACTGTGGATGGGGAAGTAATTCCCGAGAGCGTCTGAGCGCAGGGTTCTTCCAATAGTGGGGGTCTGTATCTTATCTTCTCATCTTCACATCTTCTCATCTTCACATCTGTATCTCATCTTCTCATCTTCACATCTTCTCATCTTCACATCTGTTCATCTTCACATCTGCTCATCTTCACATCTGCTCATCTTCACATCTGCTCATCTTCACACCTTCTTTCACATCTTCTCATCTTCATATCTGCTCATCTTCACATCTTCTCTCACATCTGCTCATCTTCACATCTGCTCATCTTCACATCTGCTCATCTTCACATCTTCTCTCACATCTGCTCATCTTCACATCTGCTCATCTTCACATCTGCTCATCTTCACACCTTCTCTCACACATCTTCTTCTCTCACATCTTCTCATCTCACATCTGCTCATCTTCACATCTCTCTCTCACATCTTCTCTCACATCTGCTCATCTCTCACATCTTCTCTCACATCTTCTCTTACATATTCTCTCACATCTTCTCTCACATCTGCTCATCCTCACATCTTCTCTCACATCTTCTCTCACATCTGCTCATCTTCACATCTTCTCTCACATCTGCTCATCTTCACATCTTCTCTCACATCTGCTCATCTTCACATCTGCTCATCTTCACACCTTCTCTCACATCTGCTCATCTTCACATCTGCTCATCTCATCTTCACATCTGCTCATCTTCACATCTTCTCTCACATCTCTCTCCTTTTTCTCTCTCTCGCCTTCTTTTTATCTTTCTCTCTTAAGGCCGAGGGTGGTGCCGGCGGCGAGTCACGAAACGCCAACCCTTTCGCACGAAATGAGGGTCGATCGGCAAAAACTGAGGTAAAATTGCGATTTGACTTGTCCCGGAGCAACCCTTTCGCACGAAATGAGGGTCGATCGGCAAAAACTGAGGTAAAACTGCGATTTTACTTGTCCTGGAGCAACCCTTTCGCACGTCGATCGGCAAAAACTGAGGGTGCGATCGCAACCCTTTCGCACGAAATGAGGGTCGATCGGCAAAAACTGGTAAAACTGCGATTTGACTTGTCCCGGAGCAACCCTTTCGCACGAAATGAGGGTCGATCGGCAAAAACTGAGGTAAAAGTTGCGATTTGACTTGTGCCGGAGCAACCCTTTCGCACGAAATGAGGGTCGATCGGCAAAAACTGAGGTAAAATTGCGATTTGACTTGTCCTGGAGCAACCCTTTGGCACGAAATGAGGGTCGATCGGCAAAAACTGAGGTAAAATTGCGATTTTACTTGTCCTGGAGCAACCCTTTCGCACGAAATGAGGGTCGATCGGCAAAAACTGAGGTAAAAGTGCAATTTTACTTGTGCCGTTCTTGTCTGTGTGTAAAAGCGCCTGTGTGTAAAAAGCGTCTGTGTGTAAAAGTCTCTGTGTGTAAAAGCGTCTGTGTGTAAAAGTGTTTGTGTGTAAAAGTGCCTGTGTGTAAAAGCGTTTGTGTGTAAAAGCAGCTCCTGTCTGTAAAAAGGTCTGTGTGTAAAAGTGTCTGTGTGTAAACATGTCTGTGTGTAAAAGTGTCCGTGTAAAAGCGTCTGAAAGCAGCTCCTGTCTGTAAAAAGGTCTGTGTGTAAAAGTGTCTGTGTGTAAACATGTCTATGTGTAAAAGTGTCCGTGTAAAAGCGTCTGTGTGTCAAAGCGTCTGTGTGTAAAAGCGTCTGTGTGTAAAAGCGTCTGTGTGTAAAAGTGTTTGTGTGTAAAAGTGTTTGTGTGTAAAAGCCTCTGTGTAAAAGCGTCTGTGTGTAAAAGCGTCTGCGTGTAAAAGCGTCTGTGTGTAAAAGAGTTTCTGTGTAAAAGTGTTTGTGTGTAAAAGTGCCTGTGTAAAAGCGTCTATAAAAGCCCAAACCGTCCCACCTAGTTTCTGCTTGGATTTGCTGCCAATGCTACTCAACAAACACGACAAAAGCGCAATGCTCTGATGCCGTGCCAAATGCTCCAGGCTCAGCACTGCAAACATGCCAGGAAGATCTGTCAAGTCCTTCGGCGCCGTCATAGGCATCTTCGCACCTGCAGCCTCGAAGACAGCCAACAAAGGCAGCGTAGCATCCACTACCCGCGCTCCCAACACAGCTTCGCTCAAATGCAGTCCTTCCACAGCCGCGGCTTCTTTGCCCGTGAGAAGAGCCAGAAGCTGAATGCGGTCCTCCTTTGCGACAACTGCATCACGCAGCAGCTGGGGGCACAGCACTGCAGTGGGTTCCATGCATCGTGACAACCAGGCCCAAAGTAGAGCTCCCATTGCATTGACTGCCGAACTGCTGGCGCCATCTGCTCGCACCTGCCGCCGCTTCTCTCTCGGCTGATGAGCAGCTGCCTCCAGTGATATAACAACAAGCCATCATAACCAGAGCCAAACATGATCGCAGGCAACCATGGTCATGTTATCCTATATTTCACGGAAGATCATAATGAACAACCGCGTCTGAACAAACCGTTGTCTTTTCAAATTCCGAACATGTTGTAAAACACATATAAGGGTTCATTACAGTTGCACATATCATCCGGACAACTTGCAGTCAAGCGGCCTCCTCAGACCGTTCTGGTTGGACGACAGCCGCCTCCTCATCGGACAGTTCCGGTTGGGCGGCAGCAGCTCCTTCAGCAGTACTTCCAGATGCCTCATCCGCTCATTAATCACTTCTAAGGAACAACCCCATAAATGCCCATAAATCACAACAATATCACAAACCTACAAACATTGTAACCAAGAACTAGCCCAATAAATACCTTCTATACATCACCAGGCATCCCAAAAACAAAACGATGCACAATTTCACGAAATATCCAAATGACACCCTCTGTCTAATCGATAATTATCTTGCTGTAAACCGTTGTCTTTACAATGACTGCAACATGTTATGTAATCGAAAAAAACGCTTTCATTCCAGTTGCTCATATTGTTTATACAACTTGCAATCAAACAACTTCCCGCCTTCTCAGCCTCAGGAACCAGATATGCCAGCAGCGCTTCTCGCAGTTCTGCCACTGCTATCCAAATTTGGCCATCGGTGGACTTCACGCGCAGACCCCAAAGTTGGGAGGCAAACCACCTTGGTTGGGGGGCCCCAAAGCACATAGCCCGCATGACATGTTTATACATGCTGGTTTCGAGGCACATGGAAATAGGACTTCACCACACCACCCCGTCGGATTGCTGAGGTCGCCACGACAACGATGACTTCGCTGTGACTACCTGGGCCGGCCTCTGTGTAAAAGCGTCTGTGTGTACAAGTGATTGTGTGTAAAAGCGCTTGTGTGTAAAGCCGTCTGTGTGTAAAAGCGTCTGTGTGTAAAAGTGTTTGTGTGTAAAAGTGTTTGTGTGTAAAAGTGCCTGTGTGTAAAAGCGTCTATGTGTAAAAGCTTCTGTGTGTCAAAGCGTTTGTGTGTAAAAGCAGCTCCTGTCTGTAAAAAGGTCTGTGTGTAAAAGTGTCTGTGTGTAAACATGTCTGTGTGTAAAAGTGTCCGTGTAAAAAAAGCGTTTGTGTGTAAAAGCAGCTCCTGTCTGTAAAAAGGTCTGTGTGTAAAAGTGTCTGTGTGTAAACATGTCTGTGTGTAAAAGTGTCCGTGTAAAAGCGTCTGTGTGTCAAAGCGTCTGTGTGTAAAAGCGTCTGTGTGTAAAAGTGTTTGTGTGTAAAAGTGTTTGTGTGTAAAAGTGTTCTGTGTGTAAAAGCGTCTGTGTGTAAAAGCGTCTGCGTGTAAAAGCGTCTGTGTGTAAAAGTAAAAGAGTTTCTGTGTAAAAGTGTTTGTGTGTAAAAGTGCCTGTGTGTAAAAGCGTCTATGTGTAAAAGCTTCTGTGTGTACAAGCATTTGTGTGTAAAAGCAACTCCTGTGTGTAAAAGGGTCTGTGTGTAAAAGTGTCTGTGTGTAAACGTATCTGTGTGTAAACGTGTCTGTGTAAAAGCTTCTGTATGTAAAAGCTTCTGTGGGTAAAAGCTTTCTGTGTAAAAGTGTCTGTGTAAAAGCTACTGTGTGTAAAAGCTTCTCACTATTTGGTCTTGATACTCCTCTTCTCGACTGCCTATAACACATCTTTCATACATCGTTTCTAAAATTGCGTCTCCATACTAACAAGAGAAGACCCTGCTCCTCTACGCTCTCGGGCCATCCGTCGTCTAGTTGTTTTTTATTTTTTCGAGTAGCGTTCATCATGCGTTGGCCCAATATGCGGGTGCTGTCCACTCGACATCTATATAATGAATTGCGCCGACCCAAAAGGCTTGGTGGAGTGATGGATTGGGTTGCACTTCAATGCCACGCCCACAATATTGGACGACAGGCTTAGTTGAGGAAATGATTTGCTGGGAGGACTAGAATGCGGTGCAGGACCCAAGGATACTGCTTATAAGAAATGTCACGTCCTAACCCCCTCATCAGCGAACTCAGCAATGGTAAACAGATTCTCTTCCAAACCGCTTGCCTTCAGAAGCATCAGCATCCCTCGGGCCATATGCAAAGCCGATAATCCCACCATGCATACAAATACCGCTGCAACAATCTCACCAGTGCAGTGTGCAAAGACAAGCAGAAGCAACAAACATCTGTTTGACTGTTAACTGTTCTAATCTGTTCTAGCATTTTGATGCATCTTGTAGCTTCCAGTCCCACAATCCAACTAAGGTCAACTAAGTCTGGGGCTCACAGAAAAGCTCGACGTCGAAGGTCACACTATCCATGGACTCCACCAGTGCCGAATCCTCCAGCAATGTTAGCTGTTCAAGGAAGGCTATGGAAGGCACTCAAAGAGAAAAATAACAAATCATAACAAATCAACTATACTAGTATATATAATCTATATAGTACAGATCAGTACAAATCAGTATATCAACATTATAAGTATCAACCAACAATGAAGCATCATCATGAAGTATCATGCGCTGTAGCATGTCCTTGTCACCTATCATACTAGCACAGCCATATGCGGCAACATCAATGTGGCTGAACCAAGGCTAGGCTTCATGTGGGACCATAAATATATACACACACACATATATATATATATTACATATACATGTATATATATATATACACATATACATATTTTTTTGACCCGGCATATGAGACTTTCTCGTGCCGCACTTGCATCTACCAGGCCCTAGGAGGGCTGATAGTCAGGGCACAGCACATCATACTCCGTACAGATGGCTGTTTGCTCTAATTTGAGACCGTATGGTTCGGTCTGCGGGCAGCCTGAGGCCAATGACCAGCGCCGCATAGCTCGTCCAATGGCCATAGCAAAAGCCCTATTCAAAAGTGGTGGATACTCTTTCGCCTGCGATGTCCTAAAGGTGCCATCTTTATTCTTGCCCAACAGTACCTGTGTAGGTCGTTTGGCATTAGGATCTTGACATGCATGGATGGCGGCAGGCAAATCACAATTGGAATATTTGAAGGTGGTGGGTTTGACTCCACAACTTCCTAATCGCCACTGCTCAGCAGTAATGCGTCGGAAGGGTCCTGACGGGCCACGCATCAGAAGTCGTAGAAGACCAAGACGCCAGATGCTAGAGATCTCGTCCGCAAAGGGCATCGCGGGATGCTCCAAAATGGTCGCACCACCATGCAGCGCCACCACCACCGCCGGGAGGAGCCCCTTCAGGAGGAGGACATTGCCAGTGTAGACCTGGGCAAGTTCTCGACAAGAAAGTAATGCAATCCCCCAGAGATCATCGGTAGTGCGCAAGGGCCGAGGGCCTCTCACCGCATTTCCATCGATGTCAAACTGCTGGTGGTGTCGAGCCGCTGTCCACGTCTCGCACGGAGGCCCTTGAAGAAGACCTAATATGCGACCAGCGCGTCCAATCTGCATCAAAAATCCCCAAAGGCGCTCGCAGTGCACGTTGAGGGAAGGGTCTACTGCAGTGTCAATGGAAAGGACTCGCACAGCCAAATGTGAGAAGTCTCGAAGCATCAAGTCCACCATGGCATGGAAATCCTCAGACCGGCGTCTACCAGAGTAGAGGTGAATGATATAGTATGGGCCTACCCCTCAGGGTGTCACACGCTTCGGAGAGCCCAGTAACCGCCATTGTGCACGCACACGCTCCGCTTCACCCAAACCAGCATAGCAAGACTGTATCTCATGCACATATGAAACAGGTCTATGCTGATGAGGTGGTGCAGGTGGTGGAAAATCTGGGTCATCTGGAGGGCGATTGAGCCACAGCTGCGTCAAACGCCGCATCTCATTGCGGCTGTGCCATGCTGGAATATCCTCAAGCATGTCCATGTGAGCAACCTCAAGCATCTGGATCAAATCAACATCCAGGTCAGGGGACTGCGCATCATGAAGATCTCTTTCAATCCAATGCACAAAAAGACGGCCTCCGAGCAAGTCCGGAACTTCCAATCCAAAAATTTTCTGAAAGAAAATATCATGAAAGGTGATGACGTCAGGGGTGTCACAGGTGCACCACTCCTCCAATCCTGCTCGGAAGCTCTGAAACGCGCGCTGAACAAGATCAGGATCTGTCTCAGGATGCCACCACGCAAATTCAGGCGCTCCCTCTGCTCGAAGTGTTGCAATACGCCGACTCAAATCAAGGCGGTGTCGTTGGCCACTGGTAGGTCGTAGCGGTCCATGATGGCGCCTCACCGCAGGTAGGCGTTTGACATGCTTGAGATGCGGCGGCAGCACAATGGTGACTGGCACGTCAGGCTGACGCGCACCTTGAACTCGATCCCAGCATCCGTTGCGACGATAGCGCAGATGTTGCTGGAGTCTCCATGTAGTGTGGTGGTCACGCAAGCAGCCAGGGCACACCGTTGATTGGACAAACTGTCTCTCATCTGATATTGCACCATGGATTTGAAATGCATGAGCTCCCAAAGCTTGCGCAGTGGTAAATATCTTGTCACATGTCTGGCAGGCAAATTCCTGCGCAGCAGGCACAAATATTTCTTCACCTTGCCACACCACGTGTCCTCCATTGTTCAACTCTTCAGTGATCAGACCATGATAGTGACGTACATCTCGGGCAATGCGTTCTTGAAGAACATGTTTGCGGCATGCACGCTTCACTAAACTTTTCCAGCTCTTGCAGTGCTGCAAGCTTGTCCAGACCTCACTCCAGTTCTTGATGACTCCATCAAAAACAAACGGTAAGTCCACAAGCCGTTGCATCCATCGAAGGTCGGCTTGTACTTCAAAAAGCCAGCCACGACCATGTTGGAACTCATAAATGAGAAGTGCACGATGAAATGGAGAAGCATGTTTGCCCAAATGTTGGAGAAACACAAGACGGTGTCGCGCCCATGTGATGCGAAAGCCTGGCACTTCAAGGTGGAGGCGGACATCATCATCAGTCATGTGGGAATCATTCCAAAATCCAATATTGGCCATGCTTCTATAATGCTTCACAAGGAGGGCTTCAAGACGACGTAGCACAGCAGCAGGAACGTCGGTCCAGACAGCACATCCATACATGAGCCTCGAAACTATCAGACTGTCGTAAAGCTGCAAGCGTCCTTTCAATGGGATGTGACGGTTCAGAAAGATGGCACGTTTCATCTCATGAAAGGCCTGACGCGCCATGCCAGTTCTGGTTTGCACCTCCATCTCAATGTCAGCATCCATTGTGAAGCGCGCACCAAGGTGGCGATAAGTCGCAACAACCTTCAACGTCAGAATATGGGAATTTCTACAATGCAAGGTGTTCGTTCCACATCAAACATGTTGGTGCGACACTGATTGGCACCTCGACCTCTGAACATGATCACACCCTCAGACTTGCCACTTTCGAAGTTCATGGTCATACCATGGGACCGAAAAATGGTGTGCAGAAGGGCCACAACGTCTTCCATGAGAGAAGGCATCTGTTCTGGTGATTCAGTGGCCAATGGAATTGCGAGATCGTCAACCCATGAAATAGGAGGCGTCTGAATGCCAAGTTTGTCACAGCCACGCAGATAATGTGGTAGCGCTTGGAGTGCTTCATCAATTTGTCTCATCATTCTGGCCATGAGCAAATTGAACCCAATGTCTGCCAGTGGCGAACCTGGTCGAGTACCTCTCTCAGTTGCAACGACCTGGTCAGAATCTGCATCAAGCTGGAACCAAGTAGATTTGTGAATGTCATGGAGGAAGGTGCGAAGGGCTGCTGGCATGTCAGGAGGAATGTCCTGGCTGGCCTCTCGTATGTCATGCGCAAGCTGCTCAATGTCAAACTCGCAGGGATCCAAGATACGCAATAATGTCTGCCGTGTCAATGGTTCCCGTACGGTGAAAATGTACTCACGCAGCATATGATGAAAAGCAGCTTTCAAATCGACGAAAATAACTGCAGTGGTGGTGCTTGTCTGTCGGCCTCGCCTACCATGCAGTTTCAGAATCTGAATGGCTGTGACCGTCTGCTGGGACGGAAGGCCTCCGATTTGTCCCGGAGCACGTCGATAAACTAACGTAGGAAGCAGCCGCTGGCGAGCCCAGGCATGCAGCACCTTCCCAAAACAGTCTGCCAGTAAGATGCCACGATAGGCACTGGGGTCATGGCGAGAATGTTTCTGCTTCCAGATAGGGCATAAGCGGCCCCCCTTGAAACGTTGGGGTTCGATGCCTTGCATGAAAGCTTTCAGGACAAGGTTGTGCAGACTTGGGGCAATGGCCGATGCAGCGTGACGACATACTTCAGGCGGTATTTCATCCAGCCCCGGTGCACGATGCGGCCGCTGCTTGAGGCATAGGTCCTCAATCTCGGCCAAGGTGGGGAGGTCCTCCAGATCAAAAATCTCAAGTGGAGGGGCATCTGCAAGGTCTCGTCGATTCCTAGCAGAACAGGCCTCAATCGCCCTGACATGATCAGTAACAATGCCAGCTTCCAGTTCTGCAAAGTGATGCAGCAAGCCGTCCCCAAGTTCATGTTGGGCGTGTAGTTGGCGCAGGCGGTTCTTGGGAAGGACTGCTTTGATTTTCCGCCATACTGCAGTGAGTCCTTCATGTGTATAGGCATGACCAGCATCACAAGCAAGTTGTTGATAATATTGGGCATCAGCTTGCCGTATTGCATCGCGAACACGAATTGCCACATTGCGCAGCTTCTGCTGCGTGATGGCAATGGCCTTGTCCATCAATGGAACCCAACCTCGAAGAAGACAAGGGTCGTCAATGAGGGAAGGAGATCGAATTGTTCTCCAGGCCTTGAAAAGAACTTGCAACTTCGTCTGATTGTCAATCTTGCGCATCTGCTTCAACTGCCGGAAAAGCATCTTCTTTTCATCAACTAATTCCCACGTAGATTGGCCGACGTGTTGCTTTCGTCGCCATTTGTGGGTCTTGGGCAGGAGCTCGCTCAAGGCTTGTTTGGTTTGATGGGCAAGGAAGTCCGCTGATGAATGAGGATCTTGATACCACGGTGGATTGTAGATATGGTCATATAGGAAAACTCTAGCATCATGGTCATGTAGTTGATTTTGAAGCCGCATACTCGACAATGAAGCACGCCGTTTGCCAGGAGCATTGGAGGCACTGGCAATTTGCATCTGAAACGTCAGTCGGCACATCACAACATAGTGATCAGGTCGGAGCCCTCCAAGTTCAATAGAGTCAACTACACCAGAAACCACGGAAGTGTAGGACATCTCCTGTGGAATGGCAGCAAAGTCAATACGACTGCAATGTTGACCATTGGGGGCCTCAAAGGTGTGATGTTGCGCTCCATTGTGACTATCAGGGAAGGTGCTAGGTAGCCACAGATGATGCTCCAGCAGCCAATTGTGGAAGCACTCACCTGGTAAGTTTTCTTGGTCTGCTCCAGCTTCTCCGACAGCGCATGTTGGATGTGCACCAAGATGACCATTGGTGTCGCCCACGAAGAAAATAGGATGGGTGGACACGTAGGGTTTGATCACTTTGGAAATGTGTCCCCAAAAGTGTTCACCACAACTTTTGGCATGACCCGCATGTGGAGCTCTTCCAGTGATGAAGATGGCTTTCCATGTTTCAAGGCGCAACTTCACAACAAGGCAGTTAGGGGCAGAATCCAAAATGCTAAGATGCTTCATCAGGATCTGTGGCCCTCCCTTCCACAGGGGGAACTTCTTGGAGAACCAAAGTTGGATTCCATCATGCCTATGTGAATCGCAAGCATGTCCAACAATATGATAACAATCATTGTGTGGGTCAATGATGCGCTTGTGTCGAGTTTCCTGTAGCCCAACCACGGCATACCGCTCTTGCACAAATTGCCGCATGAGGAGATGTTGTTTCGTTGGTGTGATGCGCCCTTGCTGATCTTCAGAGGCTAAGGTCAGAATGTTCACCGTGGCAATCGTGAAGTCGAAATCAGCCAAGCTGTAGATCATGCTTCTTGGGTCGTCACCAAGTGAAGGCACAGCTGCAGCCTGAAGCACAGGTGCTGCTGGTGGGGCATACCGCATGGATGTCATCCAAGTGCCCTGAAGGTGAGGTGCATCATATGGGTCCTGCCGTAGATGCTCAAGATACCATAGCCAGGGAAGCAATGCTTGCTGGCGTGCTTCGTGGATCCATGACAAGAAGGGATCGCATGTGGCAACCTGGTCATAATGTCTGGCAGCAAATTTCGCAAGCTGGTCGACAAGCTCATTACATGGCTGTTGACAGTGTCCTTTCACATGGTTCCAGTGTAGCCTTCCAAAGGAATGGCGATGCTGAAGAACATGTGCTAATGATCTCAGTGCCGTCTTCCATGGTTTGTGCTCCAATGTACGCCAGATGCCAGCAGTTTGATATCCAGTGTTCATGGCGTCAAAGTTGAAGTGAAGATCAAACTCAAAAGAAGAATAAACACTATAAAACCAGTCACTGAGGTGAATTGCCCAAATCAAAGCCCACATCATTGCTGCGTGCTCACCTAGGAATGCTTGAGTGGCAGTCAAGAAGGATTTGCTCATACAACCAGAAAGGGCAAAACCATGGGCAAATTCAATGAAACAGGCTACGCCAGCTCCAACTCGAGCATCAATCTTGGATCCATCAACGTAGAAATGGAGAGCAACAGGAAAACCCTCTTGGAGTGGCACCAGGGTAGCGAGGTAGTCCCTTGTGACAGGGAGCAATTCAAGCTCTTCTGGCCAGTGATCAAGGAGTTCAAGAGGCATTCCGTGGAGCTCATGTTCGAGCCATTCAACGCGGGCAAAATCAACACATGTTTGTGCAGGACCATCGATATGCTTCGCAAGCTCTAAGGGCTTCGTGGTCAACTCAGGCCGCTGAGTATGAGCCACCTGCTCAGCTGTTAGGCGCCTGATTGATGACCTTTGTATAAGAGCAGGTTGGTCATCCTCTTCTGCTTCATCTGCTGTCACCGTTTCCCATTCAAAGTCAGTGTCTCCTTGATCAAAGAGCCTCCTAGCATCACGCAGCGTCAAACCATCTCTGAGGCAACGTGCTACAGCTCTTGTAGGGAGATCTTGCCGCTTGTAGGGAGGCACATCAATGCGGAAGTAATCTCCATGATACACATCAAAGGGAACATGATTGGATAGTGAGATAAGGTGGCCATTGTGTCTCACGATGCATTGCTGTTTCGTGAGCTTACAATATGGATGAAGGCCAAGCTCTTCAAGAAGGACCCTTCTCGTCATGTCTTTGCGCATGAGAGTGGCATAACGATGGGTGTTTGTGTTGGCCGCAATGGCTTCATGGAAAACAACATCAATCAGAGTCAAACGTCGCAGGTCACCAGGCTGGAGATCATCAGCCCGCTGGACCAACGCAACTTGAGTGTCCGCCGCATAGAGGTCTGAAGGTCGATACCGCATGACGTAGATGCGTTGAACATCATGACGTTGGAGACCAAGAACAGACCGGATATTGCTGTAAATCGCCGGCCATGAATCAGTTCGAACACGTGCAGTCACCATAGGAGCTTTGACCATGAAGATGTGAAAGAAGCTGGACGGCTCATCACTGTCATAGGTGGTCACCGATGAACTCAAATCATCATCAGTGACAAAGTCCTGTTGTTCATCAGTGGCAATGTTGGGGTCATCAACTAGTGCAGGCTGCTGTAAGGGAAGTTGATGTACTGGTTGGTGCGCCAGAAATGACGCGACATCTTCATCCCCCTCCCAGAGCGCATCTAGCAGAGATGTGTCCTGTGAATCATCAATCTCTGTGTGTTGCCGAACATGCAAAACAACTGAGGCACCATCATTGAGCTCAACAGCAGGTTGTGGCACAGGGAGAATCGGCCTCCAACCAAGGAAACCTTGTATAGGTCGAAAACGCACCTGCTGTGGGATATCCGCGTATTCAAGGCAATCATGTAGATGAACTTGGGAGCGTCCAAACTGTGCAATGCGCTGGATGGCCGTAGTCATCACTGAGTGATAGACACTCGACCATAGGACTGCTCTCTCAAAGGGTTGTGGCTCTTGTACAAGAATGACCTGAGCGGCATATGATTCCTATTCTGCACTAGGTGGATCAGGGTGGATCAAAAAGAAATGAACAGCTGCTTGACGGAGGATACGATCATGCCATGCAGTGATGATATCCTCGTACCAGGTGGCAATGTCCTCTGTCACAATGATGCTGCGTGGATGCCTGCAAACGCGTCCATCTCGCCCATTGAGATACCAAATAAGTAGCTCATGAGTGTGCCCTGGGTCATGTGGATCAAAACCATCGGCTTGATGAACCGCAACCGCAAGGTCTTGGATGAATGCAGGTTGATTGTCAAGAAGAACATTATGTGTTCCAGCCTGTGGTGGTCGGTGGAAATCATCCTGAAAACGCTCAGCAGCTGTCCGGTCATGCTCATCAGTAGCACGACATTGGCGAGGTCGCACAGAAGCACGGCGCTTGCGCCATGGTTTGCCCGGCCAATCTTGTAGATCATCATGGGAAAGAGCCAGAGACCCAGAATCCACAATCTCATCCTCGTTGAAAAGGTGAAGATCAACACTAGGAGAAAAATTCACTGCTCGACCATGTGCACGCTCAACACTCAGCTCCGTAGTGGGGCGAGGCTGTCGAAAGCAGGAGATCAGTGGTTTGGGCAATAGGCTCATAGCTTCAACTTGTTGTAGTTCATTCAAATGCTGACACTGCTGTTCAAGAAGATATGCATTGTGAAGTGCCATGAAAGGAAAAGTCCAGTTGTCCTCTGTGAGTGTGCGTGAATGGATGGGCCAAGGTTCATAGCAGTTGTCCAAGCCTGCTGCACAGCTAGCTCGATGCCAGCCATAGGCCTCAACTTGAAGGTCTGCATCCTTGGCAAAGAAAGGAGAAGGCTCATGATGTGCTTTCCGCAGACAAACATCACCACTGCCTCCACTCACTTGCCAACAGCACCATAGTGCTCGACAGAGCGCTGTCGTTTGCTTGAGCGCTCTGTACTGGTATCCATTTCCTCGCCATCGCTGCCGATCTCCACTGTTTCGGCAGGGCTGGAATGTTTCAAGCACTTGCTCAAAAGGTCTTGAACTTGGGCACGAAGAGAATCCTCCTCGACGTCCACAACCTGGTCTGCATTGGCCTCGTCCTCGGCAATCGAGGGCGGAGCTTCCGACGTGTGGTCGGCTGCAGCCTGCGCATTGAGCTTCTGTAGATCTCTGCGGGTTGTTTGGATGTTGCGCTGCATGTCGCGAATTTTGTTCGCATAGTCCTTTTGCTGTTTCTCGAAGGCCTCCACCTGCTTCGAGAGTGTCTCCATGAGCGCCTTCAAATGAGTAAGCCATCGTGAACGATGTTTGGCTTGGGCATCTTGAAACTTTTTCAAGTTGTCTCTTGATTTCCCCAGGGCTTTGGTGGCCTTGTGCATGGCAGACGTCAAGTGTCGGCCTGACTGGGGATCGATCGTACTTCTCCACCATTTTCCGCACTCCATCGGGCATTTCGTCCTCGTCTGGGTATGCTTCGCGGAGTTCCTTGACCATCTCTGCCTGGGCAGCCATAGTGGAAGATGTCGCAGCTTCTGTAGCTGGATCCTCGTCTGCCTTCCACGGTGCCGGCAAAGTCAAGGTTGAGTATGGTGGATCTTGTTGTTTGTCGCCTCGTCGACGATTGTTTCTGCGTCGTCCTCGTCCTTGGCGTGGAACATTGGCCGATCTTGACGAGCGAGATGAGGCACTGCGGGAAGCAGAACGTGGGTCTGCATTGTCCCAATTCCAGTTGGATTGCTGTACACGGCGTCCATGTGCAGGGCGGCCACGAGTCGCAACATTCGACTGTGCACGCTGTTCTGGAGGTACAAAGGTTGTGTCTTGTATCTTTGTCCATTTGCCTCCACAATGAGGACAGTGCACATGTTTGCCGCTGAGAACTTTCCAACATTTCTTGCATCTCCAGGAATCTGTCATGGTTCCAACTTCTGCTCGAAGGAGTCCACGAAGATGAGCTAGATGATAATGATCTACCGAGTGGTGTCCAGCAAGGGTTTGGATAGATCTGCGTAGGTAGCTTGTTGTGAGTGTAATGTAGCCCTGTTTCTGCAGCCACAAGTTTCTGCGAACAACAGCCCTTTGTCGACGTTGACGACGACGTCCAGTTGCAAAGATCGTGATTACACACCTGAGTCACCAAGAGGAAGAAGAGGTAGATCAGAAATTGCATGCACACCTCCAGCTCTTCGGCCAGGAAGAAGTGCTTCAGGCACCAGCAAATACGAGGGAGTCAATCTCGACCAAGCAGCTAGATGCCTCTTCCAAGAGCAGCCCCGGTTTTGTACGTGCCCGGGAGCACAGAACAGGTGTTGTCAACTTGCTCAAGGTTGACAGAGCACAGGCAAAGCTGAAGACCCAAGGCAGCGCAGCACGAAGGTCAAAGCGCAGCAGCAATGCCCGCGAGACACAGCGAGTCCCGCTAGGGTTCGGGTTAATCACGGGCGGTGGTCCCTGCTGACAGCCAAACCCTACATATACATATATATATATATGTACATATATATATACATACATATATATATATATATGCACATACATATTACATGTCATGCAAAACATCAGGCAATTGCCTATCCTATTGGGTTGGCCAAAGGCAAGTGCCCGCTCAAATAGCCGCAAAGGATCTGCTCTGTGGAATCTAACACTGGCAACGCAAAACCACACTTTCACGATCTGCTTCAGCCGGCTGGGCTCCCCAACTGCACAGCGAGGGAGATTGACTCCTGCGCTCTGTGAGGAATTTACATTAATCATTTATTAATCATTTATTAATTTACTGTGCCTTATGCGTGGTCAAAGGTTTCAAACTTGGCAGTGGTCAGGTTGACATCAACTCTTTGGAGTCTTGGTAGGTGTGTATATCCAGATGTATCCAGGTAGCCAACGGGACACAGTGGCACTAGTCACAATGGCACTGGTGATCATTGGGTACCACTGCTGCTGGAATTATCTAGAATTCAGAGCCTCCTTAAATAAAGTCTTGGACTAAAATCCGCAAGATATGATACTGCTCTGGTATGAGATGTGCATTCTTTACCATTTTTACCCGCCAATCATTTTCAGGTGCTTCGAGAGCTTCAACCCAGTAACAAACTGTACAACAAATCCGAATTAGACCCTCTTCAAAGCCGTCCTGTAGACACCAGCAGGTATGGAAGCGCTGGAAGGAGAAGAAAAACCAGCCAAGTGACAACCATAAAAACGATGTAGCCCTTAGTACGGTCGCGCATGTCATTCTTGAACCTTCATATCTACCTATCTACCTATCTACCTACCTACCTACCTACCTATCTATCTATCTATATGTACATGTATGTTAGTATATGATTATGTATGTACGTGTATATATATAATATCACGTGGGTGTTCTCATTATATTTTTTGGGTGCCAGATGCCGATTTGAGATATTTGAGAATTTGAGAATGCCCTATCGATTTTGATACTGATTTATCGGTTTTGAATGGTTCACGGAGGGAACAGATTGCTTGGGTCCACAATAGCACTCCCAAAGAGAAGGAATTTCATAGGAGGCACGTCGTGATGTACAGACGAGATGGGCAAACCCAGTGCAGCATTGTTCCGTGCTACAAAGTGCTGACTTTGACTAATTCATTTGCCCAGCTTCAGCATTAAAGGAGACAGATCATGACAGATCTACCTAATTGCAGAGTTTTGATTCTTTTGACAATTTCATTGGCCTGCGCAGATTCCAGGGACTTTCGACCTGCCTGGACGAAGGAATAAAGCTCGGGCAACTCCTTCGCGCATACCGAATAGCCTCAGCAGTTTTGTTTTGGCTAGAGACAAATTTCACATAAACTTGTATAATATTGCATATACCGTACCAATCAACAAGGCACTGCACACTTTTAGTCCATGACGTGCTTACTCTTGTTTGTTGTTTGATTCTGGGAAACATGAGCCATAGGCTTTTGTTTTTGGCGATTAGGGGAGGTGATGTGTCTGCTGATCTTCAATCCCATCAAATTTCTTGCCGGCTCAAAATCAACGCGCGTGATCCGAAAATGACATTTGATGAGCTGATCAAGGCACACATTCGGACGCTGCGCTGCATCAGACAAAAATAATTGCGTATGTGCAAAGTGGAATAGCTTGCTTGCAATCGTATGGGGTCGAGATCCCTAAAACAAATGGTCTTATTGTCTCAACTATATAGCCAGTTTGGGCACAACAATACAGTAGTGGTGTTTAGAGGAACAAGAACAACTATGTGGACTTTGGACACCACATCTGAGTACCCCGCTCTGAGTAAAGCAGTTTGCACCCGCAAGGATCAATCCTCAGATTGGCTGACCTCTACTCTTTTCGATACCAGGGGCAAAATACATCCCACCAAACGTGAGACTAAAAACTCTGTGCAAGCTGACGGTTAGAACATCTTTTGCGTCTGGAGTCTGGACAATGTCCACTAAGCATCATTACCGTAGAATCTGCATAGTCCATTATCAACTGCATGTTCCTATCTTTTCACTTCATTCGCAAACATGTTCTGTGCTCCACATAGCTGTGACACTGCCTGCTGTGTGTGTGTTCAGAAGATTTCAGAAGTAAGCTTAGCACAAACAAAATCGACACACAAGCAGAGTCAAAATACAACAACTAACAAGAAATCAAGAACTGCAGCACTAGATAGTACTATGGCCAACTGTTTGTTTCAGGTGAACTTTGCACATCTTTGCACTGTGTACATCTGTGCACAATGATACTTCTTGCAGTTCATCCTCTTTCCTCAATGGTCTGAAATGCGGCATGTTCAGGTACGTACTATAGACTCTGACTTAGGCAGGGTTGTTAGCAGCCCAACAGGGCAAATGTGGCACAACTTTTGAGTGATCTTGGATCCCCAAAACATGTTTCAGGCCGGGCTGGAAGCAAACATTTTGTCATCTGATGTTGTCTGTCTCCACATTACTTTGGCACAGCTTTTGAAGCCTTTGTTGCCAAGAGACCCAGCGACAGAATCCAGCCCACAATACGGCTGCCTAAGACCAAGACAAATCAGGCGACTGGTAGGGATTGAAATGGATTGAACCATTGGAACTCTTCAGCCTGGATATAGATGCGACAGTCAACAAAAGGGGATGGTGGACTCCCCTGGTGGACTCGAAACTTCAAGCGTTGTGGCAGCCGCAGTGCTAACTAGCAATCCTCCTATATATGTGGAGCTGTGACTGCAGCAAGGTCTGTCTCAGTTGGCAAAAGGCCCTTGATCCGCGGAGATCTCGGAAAGTCCAAGTGGCTTTGCAAAGTGACAGGCCAAACCTTCCTACTGATCGACCCAGCCAAACTTAGAGGGCAATCATTTTCATTCATTGAATTTCCTTGCATGTGGAGCAGTTTGCTTCTTCATCTTTGCACAAGCGGTCAAACTCTGATGCCGCAGCCTGTTTGGCAATTCATTCAAGTAGCAATACGGATCAAATACCCGAGGAAAGCACACACCTTGGATGAGGGAAAACCGAGTTCATCAACAGTCATCAACGATCCCCTTCTGACACTTTGATTGATGACTGGTTGGTATGGACAAACCAGGACAAACTCGTCAACTCTCTCTCTCAAGAGGAACAACTCCCTAAGACCAAACGATCATTTGCCAGCATTGCGATTCTCATCAAACACCAATGATGGACTACAGTAGACAGTAGCTAGCATTTTCGGAAACATCATAAAGCAACATGTCTGCCTCTGCACTTCATAAATCTTCATAAGACTAAGACATCCAAGTAATCCCAGAATTTCGGTGGACTTCCGTAAACGTTGTGCACACAGAAATCACATATGATCATCTACAATGTGTCAAATCCGTCTTTGAACATCACGCTGCATCACGTGCCAAATGCGGGCCTCCCTGCTCCCTTGTCCAGTCGGTTTTTCAACATGGGATTTGTGACGTGCCAGGTGGGTGCCATTTGCCTCAAAGCATGAAGACATCCCTGGGCACCCAAAGTCAAAATGCCTCTGTTTTTCTACTTGGACACCCTGCTGAATGTTGCAGTTGTCACCCACTGACTTTGAGCTGCAGCGTCACAGCCTAGCCATGCCTACCTACTAACCACACGCGCTTGCTGAGACTCTTTTGAGGTTGCTTCGTTCAGAAAAAGAAAAACATGTATATAAGAAAAACATTCCAACAACTATATAATATGCTTTTTTGAACATGAAACTTCAGCATTGGTGGCAATTCTGTAGCAAAAATGATGGAGGCTTGTCTCAGTAAATTAGTAAAATGTGCCAGGTCACAAGGTCATACTCAGTCTATTCAGCAGTTCATGGCCGGAAGCAACCTCTAGTTCTGTTTCTCTCAGCATCGATAAGCACCAGCAATATATACAATTATAACCAATTATATACAGCATTTCTGCGATGGGAACAAGCATTGAAAGAGGCATCCGCTATGTACGTTGGCGTTTCATCAAAACTCTTCGAAGCAAAACGATCTTCTGCCCAGAACCATGAATGTGCTAGTAGCATCTAGTAGCTAGCAAGGCTTGGCTTGACGCTCGTCAACCGGATGAGACTGTTGGATCCTCTTCATGAATGCTGCATGACTTTTGAAGTGCGAACAAATGCCCAGCGCGGCACACGCATCAGGCACACCATTTTGACATATGATAAATTGGTCCTAATTTCAGCCTGCTTTGGCTTTCACTTCTTTGCTTTCAGAGCTGCTGGCATCACTCGTTTGGGCAACGGATTCTTCTCGACTTTATCTCCATTCTTTTGCGATTTCCCGCCGCTTCCTCTTGCTTCTCTCCACCGCTTCAGCAACTCTCCTTGGGGAGAACGAAGACTGGACCATACTGAAACTGCAAACTCCCTGGCAGTCCTAGCTTGATATTGCGATTCAATGCATTGAAGATATTGAAAGTATTTGAAAGTGTCAATGTTATCGAAGACTTTCAAAGGGTTGATTGCTTCTTAGTTGCCAACAAACTTGTTGACTGGCTGAACGGACATGGTTCAAGCTCGATATTGCATTGTTCATGATGACAGTTAAAAAAGGCAGTTTCAATAGTAGTTACAGAATCCATGCCGAAAAGTGAACGGGAATGCCATAGGCTGGCAAAACAGTTCTTTGAACATGAAAGAACCTTGGCTGATGCCCAAGTTGGAAGGGCATCATTTTCATTCTCCTCAATATTTTCAATGTGTGGCTTACGCGCTGAGCAATTGCTCAAGGATGTGACCTTGATCAAACATGACGTCCTTGAGCATCTTTATTAATTATTATTCTTGATTCTTGGGTTTGCAAATATCTTTGGGGTACGCACAACTCACACAACCCAGGAGGATTTTTTGGCAGTGAACAGTTGTGGCTAGACTTTGCCTTTTCCATCGATGCAACATGATGCAACTATACAACTATCCACAGACCCAAAGCTCACTTGTTGTTCGCAGTATTCCACGCATTTCCCATGGAAGTGGTACTGGGGCCGGGTCCTCCAATATCTATGCTTGGGAGTTTGGTGACTTTCATGGCAACTCTCACACGCACGTGGTACAATTCGCTTTCACGGTCAGTTGCATTCTTTGAACTTCACAAATTATATGATACTTATACCATAACTAGTTTGAATACGGAATACGTCGATCATGTTTTCAATATTGGCTTTACACAAACAAAACGGAGCTGTCAGAGAGTATTGCATAATTACGGATCTTTAACCATCAACAAGTCAAGCACTGAACTCATTTTTCGCATGGTAGTATGACAGAGTGAAAGTGTCAAAATGTGTCAACAGCATTCAAAAACAAAATGGTAAGAAACATTCCGCAGTACAAACGAGCCAAGGAACGCACACATGGGCGAATGTAGTTCCAATTTCTGGGAGGCCTTCCTTTTGGGCTCCTGGAGGTGCCGAAAAGTTCCATTGACACGAAGTCTCTGTGCACAATTTGCGGATTAAAACAAATAAGTCACATGAGTGTCATTGCAGGTTTTGGCTTCAAGTACATTATTTTCATATAATTTTGCCCTACTTGGTTCAACTTAGTTGGGTTCCCACACTGTAAAACTTTTGGCTGCAGTTGCAGGTCTGCCATCTTCCCCAGCGACATGTTTGGAAGCTTTACAAACACAAACCTACACTACACCACTCCACTGTCCACAGTGCGACTGCACCCAACTAGATACACTATAGACAGATACAGCAGTAGTGATGACAAGTGATCATCATACTGACTACTCCATACATGTTTTGTAAAGCACAACTCCTGTACTCTGCCTTGAGGCAGAATGCTGTCACTTGTGGCAAGTGACTTTGCACAAGTGGTGAATGTGAATAGTACGAGACAGACTCATGCGCGTCCTTTTCAAGTCCTACTCTATCACTATTTCACTTGTTCTCAAACACTGGGAATCAAAATACAGGTGTTCGTCCAACTTAGACACGCTGCTCGTCAATCCATGTCACTCCCTTTTCAACAAACTATTTCCACATGTCATCAGCGTTTTTTTTCCAATATGTCCGACAGCTTTCCCTGGCTTCGCCCCCACTGATTTCAATGCACTCTCCTCAAGTGTCGTGGTACGCAAGTGTAGCTTTCACAAATTGTCGGAGACAACAACAATCTGAAGAGCTCCAGAATAGCATCTTCTGAAAAAAGCTCTTCGGGGTGACTCAGCATCACCTAAGCGGCAATTGGCAACGGCCTGTTTCCAATGTTTGCAAACCGCTTCAATGTTTTTTCATTGTACATTAATATACATTAATACATATAAATACTGATGTTCTTTTTGGCTCAAATATCTTCAATCTGTCAAATCATCCAAAGGTCAACTTCCCACTCTTGAAAGCAACTCTGCAGCAAGTAAATTGACAAATGCCATCTACCCACCATTTGTAGAAAACGCTCGTCAGCGGATGTGGCTTACTATGACTTGGTCACATGAATGGTTTGCACACCTTCAACATATTCAACAGACACGATTTGTGACATATGTGCTTACCAGCTGCCTACCCTTTGCAAAGTTTCTTCAGAAACCAATTTTTTTTTACGCACAAAGCCTTCCGGTCTTTCACAGCTGAGAGTCAGATGCTCGATCCATGCCCAGGTTCATCCAACTCTTTGTAAAGGCCTCTATTTTTCGCATGCTGCCTCGGTGCGATATATTGCGATGGCATGGGGCATACCTTTTCCAGTGCGCAGCAGTCAGTGTACGTCATACCTGTTTCCAGCCGTTAGTTCCATCTGGAAATAGAAAATTCATATGTGAGTACATGTAGCGAGGGTATTGCGAAAGGAGAGACAACACGGCTGGATTAGCTATATATGTATTATATATTTATATTATAGTATAGATTGATAGATAATATATGATAATATTAGTATATATTAGTCATATTATATCATGTTATATCCAGTTTGGATCATTTTGGGTTGAAATGCGCTGTGCCGAGTCCATACCCCATTCCCCGACATCATATAAAACGCAAGCGCTCCAACTGTGTCGCAGGTGCTGATTCCGTCATGTACTACTAATTTAGCCCGTCGCTGTCACGTGCACACTGATTTTGTTCTTCTAGTTTTTGGCTCTTGTCGTGCTGGTTGTTTCCACATCTCTTTTGGGTGCGGGTTTTTAACTACATTGTGCGGGCCCCCGGAATAAGCCTCACACAGACTCAAATAGATAGACAAGACGAGCTGACACACAAGCAATACATGTTCTACGAGCACGGGGGGTAACTTACCCCACAACCTGTAATCTTACCCCACCGCATGGCACACAGCTTACCCCACAACCTAAAGAATTTGTGCCATAGCCAAATCACCACGGCACACTGACACCTATCCAATCCTATCCATACATGTGCACATTGTTTTAATTGTTTTCATGAAATTCCTATGCGGGCTGCAACGCTTTGTGCCGTTTTTTATATATCTGTCTTAAACCTGACACAAAGCGTTCAAAACCGCATGGCACACCATCAACTTGACCTCGCCTACTCTTCTCTCCTAATGCGTAGCAAGGGTTCCCGTTTCACTCTGGGGGTCTGGGGGTTGAGGGTGTGTTCGCTCGACGTTGCCGAACCGTTCGCAACCGTCCGCAACCGTTCGCAACCGTCCGTAACCATCCGCAACCGTTCGCAACGTCCGCGTGAGGGCCATATGGCCGTGCCTATGGTAAGTTTTGCAGAAGGGGTCGCTTTTGGAGGTTTCACATCTGGCGTTGCTTCGTTTCGCGTGGCAGACGTGGCACTTCGTGACATTCAGACGTTTTTTGTAACGTGCCGAAAGTCGGTTTATGTGGCAGGCGCAATACTTTGGCAACGCTTTCAGAAGATGCGTTGCAGTTTTCGTGGCAGGCGCAGCACTTTGGACGTGTCCATCGTCATTTGGCGTGGCAGGCGCAGCACTTTAGACGTGTCGTGTTGCGTGTTTTGCGCGAATCGCATTGTCAGGGCTGCGTCAGGTGGCGACAAGGTGCAAATTCCGTGGTAGGCATGGCATTTTGTGAGGTGTGATGAAAATTGATGGAAGCCTCACACGAAACGTCGATTTTGAGGTAGCAAATTTAGAGATTCCTAAGAAAACTCGTAGGAAAACGTCGATTTTGAGGCTACAAAGTGTCAAAATTGGAAGAAGTCTCGCACGAAATGCTCGATTTGCTGCGCCCACGTGTCTCGTCTCGAGTCTCTGGTTTTCTAGACACGTCGCCGTGTCTATGGGGGGAAGCTGCAAAACCTCTCCTTTTCGAAGGTTGCCAAGCAGGTTGTCATGTCGTTTTGCGTGGCAGGCGCGACACTTTGTGACATTCCAACCTCTTTTAACGTGTCGAAAGTGCCAAACTTAGCGGAAGTCTCGCACGAAATGCTCGATTTGCTGCGCCCACGTGTCTCGTCTCGAGTCTCTGGTTTTCCTGTGGCGTCGGCGTGTCTATAGGGGAAGCTGCAAAACCTCTCCTTTTCGAAGGTTGCCAAGCAGGTTGTCATGTCGTTTTGCGTGGCAGGCGCGACACTTTGTGACATTCTAACCTGCTATATACCGTGTCGAAATTTCCTTTGTGTGGCTGGCGCAACAATGCACTCCACACTTTACACTCTACACTTTACACTCCACACTTTACACTCCACACTCCACACTCTACACTCCACACTCTACACTCCACACTCCACACTCCACACTTTACGCTCCACACTCCACACTCTACACTTTACACTCTACACTTTACACTCCACACTCCACACCCTACACTTTACACACTCTACACTCCCCACTCCACACTTTACACTCCACACTTTACACTCCTCACTTCACACTCTACACTTTACACTCCACACTTTACACTCCACACTTTACACTCCACACTCTACACTTTACACTCGACACTCCACACTCTACACTCCACACTCCACACTTTACCCACTGCACACTCCACACTCCACACTTTGCACTCCACACTCCACACTCCACACTTCCCACTTTACACTCCACACTCTACACTTTAAACTCTACACTTTACACTCCACACTTTACACTCTACACTCCACACTTTACACTCCACACTTTACACTCCACACTCCACACTTTATACTCCACACTCGTTACTTTACACTCCGCACTCCACACTCGACGATCCACACTCACTCTACACTCCACACTCACACTCCACACTCTACACTCTACATATTCTACACTCCCCACTCAAGCACTCTACACTCTCCACTCCACACTCCACACTCTACACTTTACACTCCACATGCCACACTCTACACTTTACACTTTACCTTTTTCACTCCTCACTCCACACTTTACATTTTACACTCCTCACTCCACACTTTGCACTCCACACTCCACACTTCCCACTTTACACTCCACACTCTACACTTTACACTCTACACTTTACAGTCCACACTTTACACTCTACACTCCACACTTTACACTTTTTACTTTTTACTCCTCACTCCACACTCCACACTCTACACTCCACACTCTACACTCCACACTCTACACTCCACACTTTACACTCCACACTTTACACTCCACACTCCACACTCTACACTTTACACTCTACACTTTACACCCTACACCCTACACTTTACACACTCTACACTATGCACACTCTACACTCCCCACTCCACACTTTACACTCCACACTCCTTACTTTCCACTCCACACTCCACACTCTACACTTTCCACTCCACACTCCACACTCTACACTTTCCACTCCACACTGCAGACTGGTAACAGGGGAAATATGTACAAGACTGTTCAAATAAACTATTGCAGACAAGTGTTCTGCGTGAATGCATCTGTTTGGACATCTGTACCATTAACATACGTGTGAGCATTCGGGTTCGTGGGCTGCATCTTGTCTTTTTTCATTGTTTCTGTGTGCGTCAAGCTATTGAGAAGCCATCCCCATGAGTTTCTATCTCAAAAAGAATATGCCTCAAAACATGCGTGCCCCTGCAAAGTGTTAGAAAAAACAATGCCACAAACAATTGATTCATCCAGTAAGGATGACATGTATATCATGGACTTCCCAACGGCACACTGTTTGCGGCACAAGAAGACAACCGCGGCACAAGTTACCACCCTGACCCTGTATCATTTTCTACTTGAAGGCTTATTTCTTTTGCAGGAGCTTAGCTAGGAGATGTTTAGAGTTGAGAGTACTACATCAAATCAAGCGTCTACCTTCTGCTTCAGTAGCCTTTTTGACTGCCCCTGGCTGCAGAAGCAACTGGGGGGGGGTGCAGAAACAGTGCAAGTGTAGATGGCACCCAGACACCAAGCACAGCAAACCAATTGTCACATTGTGCTAACTCTATCAGCATCTGGAGACAGTTGAATAATCTGCCAATCCTTTGATGCTTCAGAACAGTCAGCGCCTGCATCAAATTTTTTGATGACATTTACTGTATAGGCTGAGATGATTCATCAGTTCACAATACTTTACAGTCAAATCAATTTTCATCAGTTCTGATCATGTCCTGCCTTCGTGAGTACGAAGCAAAGCAGTGACCACCTTCGCTTCGATTTCTTTTCCATGCTGGCCGAAAGATTGGCGCCTCGGGTCATTGATAAAATCCCACCTTTCTTACCTTCTTTGATCGTAGAAAAAATGGATGAATGGTTTGATATGGTTTGATTATTTGGTATATACACTGGAATGTCCTGGATCAGTGGTTGGAGCCATGATCGTCTGGACAGGAACGTCAACATCAGAAACATGGACAACTTCATACAACTTCCAAGCGTAGGAGGGACTTCCAAAGAATTCCAGATCTGATGGGTTTGATTTTCTCCGAAGGTCAGATTTCCTCGAAGAGCTTGAAAGCAACATGTTCAATCCATGTCGACCACGATGTCGTCTTTTCAAACCAGTGACACAGCATCTCGCACAGAATGGTCAAAGTTGCACCCGTCCATCATCTTTCCATAGCACTCTTCAACCAGCTCTTGTAGTGACTCGGACGAGCACTCTGATGCATCGCTGCAGTCCTGGAAATTGGAGTTTTTTAATGGGATTTCAAGCAAATGAATGCATATAATGATACCTGTAGAGGGAACAAATGAGATTGTAGGGGAAGAAGGGTGCATGATCAACGCTTGGACAGGAACACTTTTCATTTTCACGATACTTTTCTTGTGTCACTGCTCCGCCATCCCCTGTCACGCCCGCCCTTTCCCTCTGCACGGTTCTGAGAACCAGTACCCTCCAGGAAGTCCTGTATCAGCTCCCAGGAAACCGAATGGAGAATCGGTTTCCTGAAGGTAGTGGACAAATGATGCTAGGGCCAGGGTATGCTGGATGTGGAATCCCATCAAGCGCAACTTTATCTTATGTCAAAATTTCATGATTCATGATCGGATCCAGCGCTGGCGAGCGAAATGCCACGGAAGATTGTGTATATATACATATACAGTGTATATATATATATTTAGATATTTGTACACCCACAGGCCATCCTTTTCATGTGACGATGTGAAGAGTGGCTGCAACGCACAGGGCACCATTTTCAAAACTCTTGTATCATCTCGCATCACAAAACAAACATATACAAACATATACAAGTATATACAGTTATTGCGAACAATTTGTTTCCATACAGGTTGACTTATCTACTGAACTCTTAATCTCTTGAATGTCATATCATGTCAGATGATGTCATATCATGTTGTCATGTCATAAAGTTCTATGCGGTTCTATGACGAGATTGGTTCATTGCAGTCCTTCTCAAAGGACTGCTGATAACTCTGAAGAGAAGTTGTATGCTCAACGCTTCAGTACTTACGCAGGTTGCTGGAAAGAATTTTCTGCGTTGTTATGATTGCCTCCTTCTAATTTGAAGTACACATGCCGACCCCAGGAGACACAAAACATGTTCCCGTTGTGACATAATCCACAAAGACTTCACGTTTTATATACATGCGTACATTCATTAAAGCATAAAAACATCTTGTTGACTTGAATCAAAGTGAATCAACATTTTAGGCCAGGCTGCAGCAAATCTTCAGCGTCTAAGAACCAGGGTTTGCTGCTGCAAGCTCTCGAAAATGAATCAAGGCCTGGGTTTGGCTAGATGAGCTGCAAGATGCTGCATCTCTGAAGTCGTAAACCAAACACGAAAGAACTTGACGATCTCAAACTTAAATCAAAGGCTAAGAGAGAAGAGAGACAATGTCCAATCATGAGCATGTTCAGAGGACACACGCACAAAGTCAGAATAGCCGACTGCAGCCAATCAATTCATGATTGTAAATCCTGTTCACACTGTTCACAACCAAATCATTGCAAACTTTCTAGCCGGTCAAAAACTAAAGTGTCTGCAACAAGTGTCTGTTCCTTATGAACTTCTCGGCAGCTGCATTCCAGTCATCCTGATGTTCGGCTGCACTCAGACCTCCAACGAAGTACTTCAGAGTTCGTTTAGAGAGGTCCTTGGACGCCATGAGGGGCCTGAAACATCCTAAGCTATCAGAAATATCATTAGGTTGTGCTGGTCTTCAATCTAATCCCGAAGACGTTCCAAGATTCAGTTCACGAACGCAAACATTAAAAACTTGCAGAGGAGCACTGGCAACAATCAAACTTATGTAAAAAGGCCTTTCAACATCCTTGCATCATTGATGTGTCTCTCTCTTTCTCTATGTTATTATCCCCGCGTGGTGCCAGGGGGGGATGGAACCCCTAAAAAAGTAAAATAAAATGCAGGTGCCTAATAACAATACATGCCAATAAAATGAGAGGGCATAAGGTAAGATAGGATAATCCAAGCAAAATACAATGGACACACCACAAAGATAATATGGCGTCGGGCCCCCCCACCCGGCAACTGTTGGACGTCAGGCCCCAGCATTTTTTTCCGTTATATTGATTTTTATATTTCCTTTGATCCTTGACAGACATTTGTACAGTATGATATGCATAATCATTACAGTTTCAGAACTTAATTCATCTCTAGCATTTTTGTTATACATTAGGATTATATAGGATTATCGCTCTTACTCACGATCATTTCATCTTTATTTGTCATTGTGCTTCATATTAGTTTTTCACAGCACGCACTCCTGCTAGAATCAAATTGGATCGACAACAACTGCTGTTTCTGTTTCATCTGCTCCATGATGTCCAAGTGATTCCAAATCTCTGGAAGGTTTCACAAAATGATCAGACCGTTCACAGCTGTGCATCTTTGCTATCATGCTATCTCTGTCAGTTCACTTGATCGGTTGGGACCCTCAAAAAATAAAATGCACCCACAAAATAAAATGCTGGGGTCTGACCCTATTTTATTTTCAGATTTGCTTGATTTTTTGTTTTTTAAGGGGGTCCTGCCCCCTCATTCTCTTGAGGTAGAGAAAAAGGAGGATTGTTATTACTGTAGTATCGATGTTTCAAACGCGTGCATGAAAGCTGACGCAACCTTGAGCATTGCCAACCTGAACATATAGTTCATACCATATTCAATCAGAATCCATACAATATGCGCTCGTCCATTTTGCAGTATGTTACAAAGTTGCCAAGCAGGTCTTTGTCGAGAGCAAACCGAGACGTTCTTTGTTTTCTCCAAATTGTCAAGACACTGAAGGTGACCAAATGGTTTCTTTCTCCGCAAGCCCTTTCATTGCTAGTGGAACCTGGCATCTTGACGTGTGCAGCAACGAACAAAGAAGAAATGCAGTGCTTATCTTGTCAAATCTACATTTGCCATCTGCTGCACACTGTGAACTACCAAAATGCTGTCTGACTGATAAGCGTTTACAGTGGAAAAACATGGTGTCCCTTAGGGCTCTTGACCACAATGGATTTAGGTCAGCTTGATGCAACTTAGCTGGAACCACAGCAAGACCAAACATACATAATACACGCATTGAATTATCGTGTCCCACGATCTTGCTTGTTTGACTATGCTTGGCTTGCACATGTGCCCATGATTGACTTCAAATCATCATGTCCTTCTTGAGCTGTCAAGCCCCTTGGGGATTGCAAGAAGTCAGCAATGGATACCGTCCTTTTCAATGCTACAACCTGAAAATGCCTGAGAGTAGGTTCTGAATGTCTTGCGTGCTTGGTTTTAAGAAAAAATGTGCAGGAGGATGTGGATGAGCACTGACTAGATTCGCGAAGATTCGAATGGATCAAACAGGAGGTGGCATGCTGGTTCACACTTTCTTTTGTGGTATTTCCTAGTGACGAGGGTCAAAGATGCAAATCTCTCATACACACAGGGAGAATGATATAAGCGAGACAAAACTCATCCAGGATCAGCCGGACCCATCCAATCCGCGGCGCAAGTGCGGCGCCTCAGTTTGCAACATTGACTTTGCATTCTGATGGGCAGCTCCAGGGGCTCCAGCTCTTGGCCGCTTTGGAGGAGGCTCACATGGCGGCTGCGGCACCTATCATATGGCGACATGCATCAGAAGCAGCAACCTCCACTGGGTGAAGCAAAAATCTGCACAAAACTTGAATAATATATGAAATTACACGTTACATGCATGCCCATGATTTGTAGTAATTGTAGTACAACCAACTACGCATACATACATACATGCATGCATACATACATACATACATACATACATGCATGCATGCATGCATACATGCATACCTACGTTTATACATACATGCATGCATACACGCATACATGCACACCTACGTTTATACATACATACACACCTACATACACTACATACATTACATACAGTACATACATGACATACATTACATACATTACATACAGTACATACAGTACATACAGTAAACACACTGAATACATTGCAAACACACACATGGATACATACATACATGCATGCATACATACATACTTACATTACATACCATTACATTACGTTACATGGCATTACCTCACATTAAATTTCATTACATTGCGTTCATACATGCATTGCATTGCATTACATACATTACATACATTACATACATTACATACATTACATACATTACATACATTACATACATTACATACATTACATACAGTACATGCAGTACATACAGTAAACACACTGAATACATTGCAAACACACACATGGATACATACATGCATGCATGCATACATACATACTTACATTACATACCATTACATTACGTTACATGGCATTACCTCACATTAAATTTCATTACATTGCGTTCATACATGCATTGCATTGCATTACATACATTACATACATTACATACATTACATACGTTACATACATTACAAACATTACGCACATTACATACATACATAGCATTACACACCGTGACATAACATTACATTACATTACAAACATTACATACATACAGAACATTAAAGAACATTACATACCATTACACAACATTACGCAACATTACATAACATTACGTTACATTACATTGCATTACATTACATTACAGTACTTTACAGTATTACATGCATGCATACATACATACATTACAACCGTTACGTTACATTACATTACACTGCATTGCATTGCATTACATTACGTCCACACGTACATAGGTACATAGGTACATACGTACATACGTACATGCGTACATACGTACATATGTTAATACAAGCATACATTACATACATTATGTTTATTATTACAAACAGTACATACATTACATACATGACATGCATTACATACATGACATACATTACATACATGGCATGCATTAATGCAGACATTACAAGCATTAATGCATACATTAATACATACATTAGTACATACATTAATACATACATTAGTACATACATTAATACATTAATCCATGCATCACAAAACATTACAAGACATTACAATACTTCACAAGACTTGACAAAACCTTACAATACATTACAATACACTACAGTACGTTACATTGCATTACATGACATGACATGACATAATCACACCTACATACGTAATCTCACATACATACATACATTCCATTCCATTGCATCACATTAAATACGCTACATTACCTCATATTTCCTTACTTTACATTACATTGCAATGCATTACATTGTTACAAACATATGGTTCAATTTTTTTTTTATGCATACGCATACAGACATACATACATACATACATGCATGCATGCATACATACACATACATTACAAAACACTACATTACATTACATTACATTTACATTACATTACATCACATCACATTACATCACATTACATTACATTACATTACCATACATACATACATACATACATGCATGCATGCATGCATGCATGCATGCATGCATGCATGCATATGTATATGTAGTGAAACAGTACGATCCTTGGTCAGTGCCACGGCCGTTCAAGACACTGAACTGAAAGCACTGCCAAACCCGCCGGCACGGACGATGCCGGAGCGTGGTAGTTTAGGAGTCGAGGCATCCAAGCGAACCAACGGTTTCATGGTACGTGGTACAGCTTTAGCTGGGGGGGCATGTTCGAACGAACATAGCACTGCGCGCAACAACTTCCAAATTCACCGTTTCGACCCTACATGTCCGCAACATTCCGCAACATGAGGCCAAGTTGGGGTCGGTCGGCTTTTTGCCATGCAACAAGGCCGGAACTTGGGCCCAACTTGGACCCACTTGGCTCCAACTTTCCACTCTACTTGGCCTCGCTGAAGCTTGGTTCTCGCCAATGTTCGCTATGTTGGGTCTGCGCTGGGCCTACTCCAACCAAGCGGGGACAAGTTGCGCTGGCTTGACCTGACTTGGGTCTGCATGTGCATATCATGGCTTCAACTTGGGCCCGCCTGGGTCGGCTTGGCCCCAAAATCATGCAAATACGTGCAAATATACTGAAAATCAAGTGGTTTGGACGATCAGGATCCGAACATTGAATCTAGATTTAGCCCCAAGATCATGCAAATACATTGTAAACCAGGTGGTTTGGAGGATAAGGATCCCAAAACTGAATCTGGATTTGCTCCCAAAATCATGCAAAAACACTCTAAACCCGGTAGTTTGGAGGATCAGGATCCGAAAAGTGAGATTTTCAAAATTGAATTTGGTCCCAAAAAAAGCGGCACCGACAAAATAGGACAAATTTATGGAAATGTCAACAGGTTATGCTAAATGTTCACCTTTTGAGAAAACCAATGTGGATTTGGCACCAAAATCATGCAAATTCACTGTAGGCCAGCTGGTTTGGAGGATCAGGATCTCAAAACTGAACCTGGGTTTGGTCCCAAAATCATGCAAATACATGCAAATGAACTGTAAACCAGCTGGTTTGGGGGGGATCAGGATGTCAAAACTGAACCTTGGGTTTCTGGCCGAAAATCATGCAAATACATGCAAATACACTGTAAACCAGGTGGTTTGGAGGATCAGGACCCGAAAAGTGAGATTTCCCAAACTAAATTCGCATCGTGGATTAGAAGCTCTTGTAGACATGTGTCTCATTTTGGACGATCAGGATCCGAAAAGTGAGATTTCCAAAATTAAATTCGCATCGTGAATTAGAAGGTTTTTAAATGGACATTTGTCTCATTTTTGGCGATCATGATCCGGAAACTGAATCTAGATTTAGTTCCAAGATCATGCAAATACATTGTAAACCAGGTGGTTTGCAGGAAAAGGATCCCAAAACTGAATCTGGATTTAGTCCCAAAATCATGCAAAAACACTCTAAACCCGGTAGTTTGGAGGATCAGGATCCGAAAAGTTAGATTTTCAAAATTGAATTTGGCCCCAAAATACCGGCACCGACAAAATTATGGAAATACAAGCAGGTAATGCTAAATGTTCACCTTTTGGCAAAATCAATTTGGATTTGGTCCCAAGACCATGCAAATTCACTGTAAACCAGCTGGTTTGGAGGATCAGGATCTCAAAACTGAACCTTGGGTTTGGCCCGAAAGTCATGCAAATACATGCAAAGACACTGTAAACCAGGCGGTTTGGAGGGTCAAGATCTCAAAACTGAACCTGGGTGTGGTCCCAAATTCATGCAAATACATGGCAATACACTGTTAACCAGGTGGTTTGGACGATCAGGATCCGAAAAGTGAGATTTCCAAAATTAAATCCGCATCGTGAATTAGAGGGTTTTCAAGACATTTGTCTCATTTGGGACGATCAGGATCCCAAAATTAAATCTAGATTCAATTCCAAGATCATGCAAAGACACTGTAAACCAGGCGGCTTGGAGGATAAGGATCCCAAAACTGAATCTGGATTTAGTGACAAAATCATCCAAAAACACTCTACGCCAGGTAGTTTGGAGGATCAGGAAAAGTGAGATTTTCAAAATTGAACTTGGTCCCAAATTCCGGCACCGACAAAATTATGGAAATGCCAACAGGTTTTGCTAATTGTTCACCTTTTGGCAAAATCAATGTGGATTGGGCACCAAAATCATGCAAATTCACTGTCTGAACCTGGGTTTGGTCCCAAAATCATACACATGCAAATACACTGTAAACCAGGTGGTTTGGACGATCCGGATCCGAAAAGTGAGATTTCCAAAATTAAATTCGCATCGTGAATTAGAAGGTTTTTAAATAGACATTGATCTCATTTTTGGCGATCAGGATCCGAAAACTGAATCTAGATTTAGTTCCAAGATCATGCAAATACATTGTAAACCAGGTGGTTTGCAGGAAAAGGATCACAAAACTGAATCCGGATTTAGTCCCAAAACCATGCAAATACATGCAACTATACTGAAAACCAGCTGGTTTGGGGAGGATCAGGATCTCAAAACTGAACCTTGGGTTTGGCCCGAAAGTAATGCAAATACATGCAAAGACACTGTAAACCAGGCGGTTTGGAGGATCAAGATCTCAAAACTGAACCTGGGTGTGGTCCCAAAATCATGCAAATACATGGTCCCAAGATCATGCAAATACACTGTAAACCAGGTGGTTTGGAGGATAAGGATCACAAAACTGAATCTGGATTTAGTGCCGAAATCATGCAAATACATGCAAATATACTGTAAACCAGCTGGTTTGGACGATCAGGATCCGAAAACTGAATCTAGATTTAGCCTCAAGATCATGCAAATACATTGTAAACCAGGTGGTTTGGAGGATAAGGATCCCAAAACTGAATCTGGATTTAGTGACAAAATCATCCAAAAACAACAAAATTATGGAAATGCCAACAGGTTATGCTAAATGTTTACCTTTTGGCAAAATCACTGGGGACCAAAACCATGCAAATTCACTGTAAACCAGCTGGTTTGGAGGATCAGGATCTCAAAACTGAACCTGGGTTTGATCCCAAAATCATACAAATACACGCAAATTAACTGTAAGCCAGCTGGTTTGGAGGATCAGGCTACGAAAAGTGAGATTTCCCAAACTAAATTCGCATCGTGAATTAGAGGCTTGTGTAAACATTTGTCTCATTTTGGACGATCAGGATCCGAAAAGTGAGATTTCCAAAATTAAATTCGCATCGTGAATTAGAAGGTT